TGTTGTTGTTGTTGTTGCCGCTGCTCCCTGCGCCATTAGGGTTGCCGCTGCCTCCTTGACCACGTCCAGCTCCACCGCCCATCAAGTTTCGTGCCATTCTGCAAGCAGTCAGCGGTGGTATGGACGTCAGCGAATGTCCTAACGCGACGCTGGTCAGATGGCGCTCACTCTGCCATTTGCGGATTCTGCATGAGTGCGTTGATGCTGTGGTGCAAAGCGAGTCCCTCAAGTCAGCGACTTGCCTCTTCTTGTACACTCTGCACAATCCCACCAGACTTACTCTGGCATACCGCCACCTCCACCTCCCATCATGTTCCTGAGCATCGGGTTGTTCATCAAACCCTCCAGGCCTCCATTCTGCATCATCTGCTGGGCCATCTGCATGATTGCTGGATTTTGCAACAACCTGCAAGCATCGCATGAACGTGCCCGTCAGCGCTGAACATCATGCAAGCACAGAGAGCCATGCTGCACTCACGCTCCAATGTCTGGCATGCCACCCCCACCACCACCACCACCGCCAGCACCACCCATCATGTTTGCGAGCGCACCAAAGTCCAAACCACCTCCGGCCCCACCGCCTGCACCAGCGGGGGCGGATCTGGCAGAGGGAGATCCCGGTGCATCCTGAGCATCCTGAGCATCCTGAGCGTGCTTGCGAGCAATCTCCAATCCGCTCCTCATCGACTGATTGTTGGGATCCAGCTCGAGACCCTTGGTGTAGGCTTCAGCTGCCTCTTGAAATTTGGAGGTGGAAAAGAGGGCGTGTCCCAGCCTGCTGTAAGCCTTTGCGAATTTGGGATCCACCCGACTGGCCTCCTTTGCATCCTCGATGGACTTGTCGTGCTGACCTAGTTGAGAGTAAGCGGCGCTCCTGTTGCTAAAGTACACTGCGCTGTTGGGATTGAGCTGGATGGCCTGCGTGTATGCGGCAATGGCAGCACCGAAATCCTTTGCGGACATGGCCTTGTTTCCATCCGCCTTGAGAGACTCTGCCTTGCTCAGCTCATCCGCGCTGGGCTGCTTGCTGCTGCTGTTGGCAGGAGCACCTGCGGGAGCATTGGCAGCAGCAGCAGCACCACCCGCAGCCGCAGCGCCTGCCATTTTGCTCTGCGTCTTGAGGAAAATGTCAAACACTTGTTGCAAGCCGGGACCTTTGCCGTACTTGTCCTTTTGACCTGCGTCGTGCAGATCCACGCCGTAAGCGGATGCTACAGAGGAGGAGAGGTCCGACTTGCCAGTCTC